CTCCAGGGGATCTTCCCAACCCAGGGATGGAATCTGGGTCTCGCATATTGCAGGCAGACGCTCTACCATCTGAGTCAGCAGGGAAGTCATATATAAATGTGTGTGTGTGTATATATATATATATGCTTTAACCTCTGAGCCACCAGGGAAGCCCTATATATATGTGTATAACATAAATGTATCATTCCAATCATTTATTTTCAATTTTTTATTTTGGTAAAATATACATAAAAATCACCATCTTAAGTCTGCAATTCAATGTCATTAAGTACAGTTGTGTTGTTAGGCGACTGTCTCCACACTCCATCCACAGAGCTCTCTCCATCATGCAAAACAGAAACTCTGAACCTGAGCCTCAATAGCTTCTCCCTCTCCCCTCCCCCAGCGCTGAGCAATTACCCCTCTGTCTTCCTTCTGTGAAACTGACTACTTTAGGTATCTTATATAAGTGGAATCATAGAATCTTACAATGTTTATCCTTTCGTGCCTGCTTTATTTCACTTAGCATAATCTCTTAAAATTCATCCATGTTGTAGCAAGTGTCAGAATGTCCTTCTTTTTAAGGCTGAATAATATTTCATTGTCAAGCTTCCCTTGTAGCTCAGATGGTAAAGAATTTGCCTGCAGTGCAGGAGACCTGGATTTGATCCCTGGGTCAGGAACATCCCCTGGAGAAGGCAATGGACCCACTCCAGTATCCTTGCCTGGAGAATTTCATGGACAGGGGAGCCTAGCAGGCTACAGTCCATGGGGTTGCAAGGAGTCGGACACAACTGAACGACTAACATTTCCACTTTTCAATATTTCATAGTATGCACTGACCACATTGTGTTTATTTATCCATCTGTTGATGGACTCTTGGGTCGATTCCACCTTTTGACTATTGTGAATAATGCTACTATGTACATGGGTATTTAAAGATCCCTCCCAGACTGCTTTCTACTCTTTTGGGTTTATATAGCAGTGGAATTTTTGGGTCATACAGTACTTCTATATTTAATGTTTTGAGGAACCGCCATACCATTTTCCAGAGAAGTTACACCATTTTACATTTCCACTGGCCTTTTGATTTTTAAGAAAGTCATTCTCTGCTTGAACAACTACCCTATTCTATTTTTTTAATATGTGATTAAAATAACATGAAGTCCCCTGGGTAGAATGACTATCCTCCCAAGCCCTGTAACTCTCCCATTTTTAGTGTTTTTAATTGGTTTTAATTTTGTGATATGTCCTCTACATACATTCAAAAATAGCATTACATTTATCCAATAGGTGGAGACTTGTGTGAAGACCCAGCTTCACAACTGTTGAGTTAGTTCATCTCTCAAGACTGTTGCAGGAGTTGTCTCCTAATGGACGTATGGTTGGTGTTCATGGCTCAGACTAATCACACACCCAGCAGTGGACACCATCCTAGGGCACTCAAAGTTGGCTGGCTGAGGGCAAGTCCTGGGGACAGAATCCACAGCATCCTAGGAGGCCAGGGTGTATTGAGAGGTTCAGAAGGGAATGAAACAGCTCAGGTTTTCTTTGTTAAGAGGCCTCAAAATGCAGGCTGATACTACCCACCTTCCCCACCCAAGAGGTGCTAAAAAATGAGCCTCCTGATGGAAGTCGGTGTCTCCTTTCTTCTTAGAGGTGATCACGATAATAATCTCCAATCTTAGGAGCTTACAGTGTTTGTGGTTTTCCAAATGGAATTCAGGTTCTTTGCTCACTCTAATTTCCAGCTTTAGCTCCAGTTGTTGTAATGCAATCCTGAAAGGGTGAATTTGGACAATCGCAGCTTGGCCATTTTGAGCACATATGCTAGAACTAAGTCTTTTTGGCTCAGCTGTAGCTTGAATCTAATGAAAATGACAGATAATGCAGCGCTCTGTGTGCCTGCCAAAAAAGAGGATATTTCCCATGAGATAGCACCTGGTGATGCAGAAATAGACACTATAGATTTGTGATTGGCTGGTGCGTCCCCGTATTCATATCTAGCCTGTATTATCAACCACACAAGATCACATCCTGGATAATAACAGCAACAATGGCATGCATAAAAATTACTGCAGCAAAAAGGGAAAAAATACTAGATCAATTATGTCAATTATATGCTAGTACTTTTTCCCCTCACAGTTCCAATACTGAGAGAAGGTGGCATCTCTCTCTGATCTAATTATTCACAAGCTTATTCTGGGTTTCCCCCCTCTTTTCTCTCCTCTCTTTTACACACCGATATAAAGAAGCTCTCTTTTAGAAACACACCGTGGACTCAAACGTGCCGCCATACATATGCGACTTACATTTTAGCAGTTGAATAATCAGTTACTTGAAAGTAAAGAGGAAACGCCTCTCGTGTTGGCATGTTCTACGGGGAAGCGCTGGGAGGGGTATCCACTGCGATGACCTTACCTTAGAGCAAAAATGCCATCAGCCTCAAGAAGTGTCATAAATTAAGTTGCTATTTAAGCCCTGATTCTAGTAAAAGGGTCCAAATTTCCAAGGTGCCTTTAATGACTCTGTGCTCAGTGACAATGAAGTATTTCTTTAACAGACTGCCACCGAGCAAACATAAAAAAATGCACAGCTTGGAAAGAAAGCTTGCCATCTTCCCTTTCTTCAACTCCTTTCTTCTTCCTTTTATTTTCTTTCTCTTTCTCCTGTTTTCATCCCCTCTTTCTGTTGCTTCATTTTGCCTTGAGAGATGCCCTGTGAACCACCATTCCTCACTCAGGGCTCCACAGACAGGGTTCACGTTCTCCCTGACTTCCTACGTGACCTTCATAAAAGTCAAAGTTCTCCCGACCCCCACCTGGAATCTCTGTTATTCCATCTTTAAAGTGAGAGTGCCTGAATCAGCGCTCCCAGATCCCTGCAAACACTCAGATTTAAAGGGAAGAGTAATTTACGTAGGCTAGCTAAGGCGGAAGGTGATTTTGAGAGAGAAATACAAAATCATTAAGCAGATCAGTAAATTTGATAATGAATTGTTTCAATTAGATTCAGGTGGCAGCAGATGTTAAATTACTTTAGCAGAACCAAGCTTAGGGGTTTGTGGTTTACTTTTCTCATTGAAATGTACAGATACAAAGGGAGAAATCATATTTTCAGTCTAGCTTGACAGAAAGCCCCTACTGTGTGGGGGCTCCGTAAGCATAGCTGCATTGGACTGGGAGCAGAAATGGACAACTGTCACCCCAGCCTTCCCTCCCAGCTCTCCCTGAGTGTGCTGGGGTGAAATCTACCTCTCTCTGTGTCTCAGGTCTCCAGTCTGTAAATGAGGACTGGATTCAGCTCTGGCCCTAAAATATGTCGTCCTATTTTGCATTGCTCTTTACCTTTGCCAGACTCATTACATATGTTTCAAGTGTATTTGTGTCGGGAATATAGTATATTTCAGAGTTTGTGGTCTACTTAGCTCCCAAACCATGAGGTCTGGTGGAACAGGACCCCTGATGCTCCCAGCACAGCGCCCCCTGCCTGTGTTAGTTAGGGGCATATAGTCTTCTGGGGCTGACTGTGATCATGGTGGTGGAGGTTGCAGAGGTGAAACAGAGGTGATGGAAGGTGAACAGTTCATCCTGGCACCAAATCAGCTCAAGCATCTCAGGCAGCTGACCCGAAAGTGCTTCCCACAAACCCCACCCTTGGTATGATCACCAAAGTGTCATGCCTATCAGTTTTGTTGCCCCAGGGGAGGCTGGACATCAGGATGTAGGGAAGGAGGGAGAAAGAGCATGCTGGTCCCAGGAGGCATCACTGCCTCTTCTTTCTTGAAGCATCACTCCTGGACACAAATGACCCCAGGGCCTGGCTCCGGTGTGCCCTACATAGGGTAGCCCAAGGCAGGCAGAAGCCCTCCCTCACCGGCAGGCCCCATTTCTCCAGGTTCTCTGCCATGCAGTATCTAACAAAACCCCACCAGGTCTGCTGAACTCCTGAGAAAACTGCCTCTTTAAGAACTTATCTCATATTTTCAGAAATTGACTGTGAAAATTCTAAGTAATGGTGTGACATGATCACACTCACTTTCTGTAGTTAATCCTTCACGAGGGTCAGGCGCCCCTCTCTTCTCGGTGGCTCATTTGATTGTCACCTACCTTGCACAAAACCTCCCAGCCCCGAGCACTGTCTGGTGGGATGACAGGCAGTCAGAGTGCTGAACGCTGTGCGGGAATAACTGAATTAGAAAAAAGCTGCTGGCACTGTAATAAAGCGTTTAATGGACAGACAGCCTCTCTTGCCTTCCTTGGGGTAACACTAAATCCCTTTTTATTGTGGTTTGCACAGATGTTAGTGAGTTATCCATTTCTCTAATCATACTAGAAGTTGGCACATCCATCTTAAGTAAGAAGACCAGCCCACTTGCTTTTACAGAGTCCTTTTTCTAATAAACTTGTGTCAGTTTCAGGTCAGTTTTACCAATACAAATAAAATTCAAACAAATAAAAAGTATATTGTCTCATGATGAGATTTATGTAATCATGTCCCTTAGGTCACTTTAAATTTACACAGGGAGTTATACCCCGCATAACCCTTATTGCAGCCTGGATTTTCCTGCGACTCGGGAACACACACGTACAAACACACAGCCACAGAGTTTACAATATTGGATCCCCCAGGTCATGGCGAAGCCTGTGGTGCAGAACAGCCCCTGTTTATGTCCGAAGGGTGAGCTGGCCTGTGGGTGAGTCACAGATTTTTTTTTTTTTTAAACGACTTCTTTCACATAAAATCTGCTCTCTGTCCGGGGCCAAGGCTGCAAGGCTGTCATGGCTTAAGGACCTCCCAAAGATCTTTTTGCAAAAGAAAATTTTGCAAAACAGGGTCATGTAACAGGAAAAAAAAAAATGTGTTTGTTAAAAAGAGAAGGGGGTCAAAAAAACCTTCCCACCAAGGTGCTCCCAACTGCAACTTCTGTGGAACTGGGAAAGGTCACCTGAAGTTCAGGCCAGGATAAATAATTGCTGTGGTGAGGGGTTCCTTTTTCCCTTTCCATGGAGTTGATGGGTTCACAGCGGTAGCTGAATCTTGATAGATTGGCAGATGCTGAAAGGCAGCGCTAGGCGGTGACCGGGGCAGGGTTGCACTTCGGTTCCCAGGGCAAAGGGTGGGCAGCTGAGGTCCTGGGCTGGGTGGATCAGAGGCCAGGTGACAAAGCCACCTCTGTCCTTGCACAGAGCAGGAGCAGACTCTGGCCCTGGCATCATCCTGGAACGGACGCGACAGGGTGAGATCTCTTGCATGACCGAGGCCCAGGGCTGCCGCTCGCCTTTGTGTGCACAGAATTACTGCTCTCTGGGGCCTCCCCCTGCAAGTGAGCAGGGCTGTCTCTGTTGTGCTTCCTGGTCCAGTCGTCCACTTCATAAATCAAAGACGATGGGTGGTGCTTTAACCGTTTGGTGTCCTGCTTCGAGGAGGAAAACTACTATGGCTGCTGCAAGGAGGGAAGCCGAGGAGGATTAAAGAGAGTCTCTGGGCTCCCTCACTCACCCACTGGTTATGCTGAAGAAACTGAGGTCCCAGGAGGAGGCGTGGCTTGCTGAGGGCCCATCTCACAAGGCATGAAGAACTTAGACTGGTCTGGGGCCCTGACTCCAAGTCTTGGGCTACTGCATTCATTTCTTCATTCACTGGCTCATTCATTGTTTTATTGGGCAGCTATTTACAGAGGGCCTACCATTTGTCAGGGGCTTCCCAGGTGGTGGCTCAATAGTAAAGAATCTGCCTGCCGATGCAGGAGACACAGATTTGATCCCCTGGGTTGGGATGATCCCCTGGAGAAAAAAATGGAAACTCACTCCAGTATTATTGCCTGGGAAATCCCATGGGCAAAAAAGCCTGGTGGGCTAAAGTCTAAAGGGTCAGAGTCAGACAAAGCTGAATGACCAGGCTCTAGCACTTCACTTTGACTAAGAAATGTTAGTGATCATTCCTGTGGTTATGATTAATAACTGACGATTAAGTATGAAATCCTGCATACCTGAGATCTTCATCTTTTTGGCAGCTATCATCCCCTCCCAGGGGCCTGGCAGTGCACTGAGACCTTCCAGGAGATGATGGTTTAGGTGGACAGGTAATCCAACTGCCTGCCCCCTACGGACCTCAGGGGGTCCCTGAGGTCATGGCATCTCTCAGGAGCAGTGGAATCTATGCCAGGGCTGGCATCCCCCACCCCCTACAGACCTCAGGGGTTAACTGCAGCTCGTGGGAGCAGTGGGGTCCATGCCAGGGCTGGGCAGGCAGCTCAGGCTAGGTGGTGGGGCCTTTGCCTGCTCTCTGATGGTGAAAGCCTCACAAACCACAGTCTGCATCTGGAGACACAGAAGTGGCCTTTGAAACACATCAGCTTCTGACTGATGGGTAAGGCTGGGCCAGTCCCCATAATGCCAGTCTTGAATGGGACTCACTTTGAGTTAAAATCTTTGTCTCTGTTGGGGGACATTTTCAGCTCTCTGTGTTCCTTTTGCCACCACCTCTCACCCCAACTCCAACCCCAAGCCTGGAGGAGTTGCGTGTGTGTGAAAGGCCCTGTGTGTGTCTCACCCACATGGATCACCCACTCCAGCAGTTCTTAAGCGGCAGGTGAGACAGGCAGAGTCCAAACAACAAGGCCAGCAAATCAACATCCACCAGGGCTGCAAGACACAAGTCGTCTCCTGCAACAGCTCCGGCCATTCAGAGTGGAAAGAAAGGAAGGGCTTGTGCAATTGGCCTGAAAGGATGCCTCTTCCTCTCCCACTGATGGGGAGCGTGAGGAGCTCTGACAGGTACCGGGGCCCCAGGGGTCAGACGAAGGAAGAGCTGTGGATTGGAGCCTCCATGGACAATACTGTGATGTCAGCCATCTAGGAAACTTTGAGCAAACTCTGGGAGATAGTGAGGGACAGGAAAGCCTCGCACACTGCAGTCCCTGGGGTCATAAAGAGCTAGACATGACTGAGCGATTAAGCAACAATGAACCCGACACCGTACTGGTTGTGCCTGCCCTCCCCCATCTCCCACCTGTCCCCTTTATTGTCCTCTGGGCCACTGGCTGACCACCAGCAGGGTGTTGGAGTCAAGGCACTGGACTCTGGAGCCAGACTGCTCACATAGATTCCAGCTCAGCCACCTTCTCACTGTGTGGACCACTTCAGATGGACTCCTACCCTCTATGTGTCTCAGCTTCCTCATCTTAGTATGGAGATGATAAAAATGCACTCACATCCCAGGGCCCTTGTGTGGATTATGTGAGTGAATGATCATAAAGTACTTAGGAGGATGCCTGTTCAGCTCCTCCTGACACGCAACAAATGGTGCTTAGTAATTCCTCTAGGCTGCATTCTTTACTCCACATCCCTGGGCCCAAACTCATCTTTTTCTTTTTGGCCACATCACATGGCTTATGGGATCATAGTTCTGGAATCAGGGGTTGAACCCAGGCCATTGACCATGAGAGCACAGAATTAGAACCACTGGACTGCCAGGGGATTCCCCAAACTCATCTTTTACAGCATTGTGCCAGTAATTCTACTCGCCCTGCCCCGTGCAGCTGTCATGCCTCCCTCCATGGAGGCATTACCCGCAGTAAACCCAAGCTTTGAAAATTGGCACTCGAGGCTCTTTGTAAATGGACTCACTCTTATCTTTCCAGGCTTAATGTTCCAACCCTACCTCCAGCTTTGCTTTGGTCCATCTGGTGCCATCCATCCATCTACCCACCCGCCACCCATCCACCCATCCATCTACTCATCCATTCATTTGTTGAAACACACACATCCATATTCTTCTAAGCTGACCCCCAAGTAGGCCTAAGAAAGCATTCACCCACACAGAAGCTTGCCCTTCTTATATGGCCCCACTGGCTTGCCTCTCAGAGAATTAAAATATAGATTGGTAGATAGATAGATAGATACTAGTTGATTATGAGGGATTGACTCTCATGATTATGGAGGCTGAGAAGTCCCAGGATCTCTGGTCTGAAAGCTGGAGACCCAAGAACACCAATGGTATGATTCAGTCTGAGTCTGAAGGCCTGGGAACTAGGGGAGCCAATGGCATAAATCCCAGTCTGAAGGCAGGAGACATGAGTGAGATATCCCAGCTCAAGTGGTGAGGTAACAAAAAAGAGGAAGTACCTCCTTTCTCCACTTTTTAAATTTTTCAAGCCCTCAGGGGATTGGCTGATGCTCACCCACACTGGGAGGGGCAGTCTACTTTACTGTCCATCAGTTTAAATGGTAATCTCTCATCCAGAAACACTCTAACAGACAAATCCTGAAATGTTTATTCTGGGCACCCTGTGGCCGGTCATGTTGACATATAAATTAACCACCATACCTCTCCTCCTGGGGGTTCTACCTTCTCTACGCTCCATGGCTTATAAACTCAGATGTGGGTTTCAGTCTCAGCTACTAAGATTATTAGGAGCCTCAGTTTCCATCAAGATCATGAAACAGGCCTCCCCCACTGACTGCTGTGTGATTCAATGGGGGCACATTAAAGACACAGTAGGGCTAGCTCACTGTAGGTACTCAAAGGAAAGGGAATTGTTTCTTTATTTCCCAAAATTTTCAGGTCTTGGGGTCATTCTGAATGCCAGCAGCATTTACTTTGACATTCCTGACTATAGCATCTCTACTCGTTACCTGGCTCCTTTGGGTTATTCTTGCCTGAACTAACATACATGGAGTATTTAGTAGGTGCTCAATCAGCATTTGGTTGAGGGGTAGCAAAGAGATTTTATAGCTAAAGATGACTCTCACTAATTATAAGTGGCAGCTTAGAGGATGGGGTTGACAAAGATCCTGAGGCTCTCTCTGGCCTCAGTGGTCCACAGATTCCATGATGAGAAAGTGATGTGTATCATGGGGTGGGAAAGGGAAGAGAGGCGAGTTTACCATCTTTCTACAACCAGGAAAATACAGGAAAGTTTGAGAAAAGCCATCATCCATGTATCCATTCAAGTGTTTGAGAACAATTTTGGTGGGCCCAGAGATACCTTTTTCCTCTTTGTTTGCAAAACTAACATAAACGATCATTTCCACTGACAGTCAGATAATAGGTGAATTTTAACTGTCCATTCATTTCTGAAAAAGTCTTGAATGAATACTATACTTGAAGTCTTAACATTTTATCTAATTATAATTAGATCTTCCACAGTGTTATTTACATTTCCTAATCATTACTGAGTACCTTCTGTGTGCTAGGGGCTGGGGAGTCATCTTCAATGTGTTCACAGGCCCTTGGGGGTTGGAATCAGGTAAGGACATAATGATGCTGAAAGTCACCTATTTGGCTTCACTACCTAATTAGGTTTGAGTTCAGCCACCAATATGTTCCTTTTCCACTGAACTTTAAAGTACTCTGCAGACACATCAACTAGACATACATGAAAATGACCTACAGATATCCAGAAATAAAAATCCACTTTGGTGTATGGCAGGATTTGGGAAAGCATGGCCAATGGGCCAAATCCAGACCCACCACCCATGTTGGGAATAATTTTATGGAAACCCAGCCATATCTGTTCCATTACATTATTGTCTATAGCTCACGCTCTGCAAGGGTAGAGTTGAGTCATAATAGAGATGGTGCAGCCTAAAATATTTACTCTCTGGCCCTTTACAGAAAGAGTTTGCCAAACTCTGGCTAAAGAACAAGATAGTATACTTCCAAAAATGCATCTGCAGACCTGAAGAATTGGGCCCAAAGAGGTGGCCAAAATGTATAAGGCTGAGGGGAGAGGGGGTCTAAATGTTGTCCAGATATTAGGAGCTGCAGATGTGGCTCAAGGGCTCACCTCTTTGGGTACAAATGTTACATTTTCCTGAAAGGAAACTGAGTAGAGAGTAAATTAGGAAGCGCAGGGGAATAAATAAAATATAATTCCAAGTATGCATGCTCCTTAATATATGAATGGTTTGGGTTAAATATCCTGCAAAAAGTCACATCAGTGTCAGTGATCCAGGACCTAGGATCACCAACATAATTTTAAAATGTTTCCCTTGGTGAAATGGATGTCCTTAAATGTATGTGCACATACAAAGACATAGACATCACACATGTGGTCTCCAGGGGCTATTCAAAGTGAGATGTGTGCGTGCGTGTACAAATATATCTTTCCATATCTATATATAGAAATACTAAGGCGCATATAAATAAATGTTAAATAAAATTTCACTGACTTTGGAACTATGTAAAGAAATCTTGAGCTGTAGAGATAACTTTTGAGAGAGTGAAGGAGTTGGATGAAATCAATGAG